GTTGGCTTAATTAGCTGATCGCAAGTGTATATTAAAAGTCACCTCAAAGTTAACCTAAGTTAAATTAAATATTTAGAAATGCGTGTGCAACGAAGGAGGTTAAGGAAATATTTTTTAGGGGATTGCCACCTGTTAAAAAAGTAAAATTAAATCTAATTAATAACTTAAAGAAATACATATTAAAATATTGGTGTCAGACGAAGATGGTGTAAAAGAGCTGTATCAAAAACTACTTCCCTAAAGTGTTGCCACTTGTTTAAAATAGTTAAATTCAGTTTAATGAATAATTTTAGGAAGATTAAAATATGGCTGTCAGACGAAAGAGGTTTAAGAAAGCGCTAATTAAATAATTAAATTGAATTTAATTTATAGTACAAAATAGGTGTTAGACGAAAGGGATTTAGTAAAGCTTTATTTCGAAAATGCATACGCCTGTTTAAATAGCCAAATTCAATAATTTTTTTTGCTCTTTATTTACTTATTGAATCTGTTTACAACTAAAGCCTAACATTAAGCAATTAGTAAAGTAAAATACTGCAATAGCGATATTATTTTGAAAGAATTTTAAGAGAGAGTTGCCAACTTTCCATAATGATATTGAATGGGGTTTTAACAAATAGTACTAATTTGAAAAATTTGTACATATAGATACAAACGTACAGTAGACAGGTTCAATAGTTCCGGCAATCTTGTTTATTTCTAAATAAATAAATAAATAAAATTCTTTCGGGACAGTGAAAAAAACGCCTGTCAGAAGCCCAGCCCCTAATATTAAGATTTAGGGTTGCTCGTTGCGAATTTCTAACTTCCATATAAATAACACAGTGTTAAAATTGTTTGAATTTTGTAATTCCATAGCTTCTTTTCCAGTCAACGTATGAGCGATATATGTAAATACATGGCAACCATTATATGGGAGATAGAAATTCGCGACCAGCGACCTCTTAATCTTAATATTAAGGGCTGCGCTTTGTCCAGGCATCCTTTTGCACTGTTTCTAAAATATTGCATTTTGAAAAAAATATATAGTAGTAACGAGTCTAATGTACGAATTACTATGTTATTATATAAAAAATAGCTACGAATGTGAGTACTTCCCCAGGCAGAAATGGCTGATTTATTTGAAATTTGGCACAAATATTGACTATGTCCTGGAATATAATTTTCATTGGAAAATATCCAGACCTTCATAACACTGAAAGTTGGACAGAAACAAGATAATTAGCTGAATATGGGCATCAGGATGATCAGCATAATTTCTGCATTATCCTGCATATAAGACATACATTAACATTACATTAAGACATAAAGAAATACTTAGTTGGAGTTACTTAGTTACATGCGAGCACACCAGTAAGAAATCTCCCATGCATAATGAACTGAATAGCTTCCCACCGCTCACATCTGCACTTGATGATCTATTAAAGCAGCCGAACAAAAGATATGATACATAAAAATAAATGTCCTACTTATGGTGTATTTTATCAAGAGCCCTGAGAAGAATTTCGAAGTAAACAAGCCAAGGCCTTTTGTTAAACTTCTTTTATACGAGTATCATACACCAGACACTCATTCATTCGCTTATGTGTTTATTTATTTAATACCTGAATGAAGACAATGGCTTTATGACCTTTTTTCTAAGAAGAGCTTATGTCCGTATTAATGGAAGTTCCCATTATGTAGTGTGTGTGGCCTAATTCGGTTTTGACCTGCTGTTGCTTGTTTAACTAGCAAGCGAAAAGGCACTTGGCTGTGGTAAAATTGCGCGTAGCATATGGCAAATCTTATAAATAGTACCTAATAAGAAAAAACCCCATTAGTTTAGTCACAGTGCTTACATGCATAGACATGTGTATATTTTTGTATTAGTATGCTATGGTGAAAGTTATGTGTTTCATTTCGTTACTTTATGTAGGAAACCTACGCGTATACGTGATATCAGAAAAGATGTTTAGTATTTAGGCTTCTGCATGGGCCAGATAGTTTAGTTTATTGGATTCTAAATGAAAATATCTTCTTTTTACTACATATGTACATTAGACTGCATCATTCCCCATAAAAAAAAAAATGGCTACGGCCCATTCAGTTTAGTGTAAGAATGTGCAAGTTTCAAGTGGCTGAAAATTACCGTAGAATTTTTAGAATTATTTTGCCGAACGTGTTGCGGGAGCACTTAAAAACGTAAAATTGTAAGTAAAATGGTATATGTGATAGGAAAAATGTAGGTTCTTAGAAGGCTTGGGTAAATAAGCGGGGAAGTACTTAAAAGAGGGATTTTGTTCAGAATACATTAAAATATTCACGGTGCCCAAAAATTTTAGCGGGTTCCACTGTACATCCAAAAATGGAGTTCTTTATGAATCAAAATAGTTACTTAAAGATTTTTTTTTGGAAAAATGACAAAACGGTTTACGCTTAAGAAATTTGCATAAGAATATTTAAGAAAATTAAAAAAAAAAAAATTCAACGGAATCGTAATAACGAGATTTTGTGATGATGTTTTTTTTTGAATGGCTTTTTTTGCACAGAAATAAAAAGAGTGGGAAAATACCTTTCTCCCCATAAGTCTAAATCAGATTAGCTTTGGCCCAGTTATTCAAGTTTTGTGTAAATCAATCTTTGAAACAAGTAAAAGAAAACAGCATCAAAAACCTCTTATTACGATTCCGTTTAATTTTTAATTTTTAAATATTTTTGTGCAGATCTTTTAAACTTAATCTGTTTTGTCATCTGAGGGGATTTTTTCCAAAAAGTTCTTGAAGAAACTATTTTTATTCATAAAAAACCCCATTTTGGAGGTATTTTCAAATCGGTCCAGCTCACGTAAATCTTAATATTTTTCCGAAATATTTTGGTGGACGCTCCAGTTTAGATAAAAACGGAGAAGATCATAGTTTGGCAGCTGCGGGCTTGCTATAAATACAGGAAAGACAGAGCTCGTCGTCCTGTTTGCCAGAAGATAGAAAGTACCAAATACTCAGCTTCCCTCGATCGGTGGCATTACATTTGTTCTCTTAAGTATTTAGGTGCGATTCTATACAAAAACCTACGCTGAAAGCCAAGTTATTAGGAGTGGGTAGAAGAGGCATCAGTTGCCCTTTACCGCGTAAAAGCACCATAAGGAAGAGCTGTGACCTCCCGGATAAGATAATATTTTTACTAAATGAAACCATAATAAAGCCAATTATGTTTTAATTGGGTTATCGACTGGTAGATTTCACTAGAAAGATTAAGAAGTTAGAGTTCAGGAAAACAGCGGCCGATAGAAGCGCTGGTCTCTCCATCAAGAAGGGCCCTCACCTGGTTTCATACCTTAAGAAACGTATCGGTGCATACCAAGTTTGGCTCCGATGAATGGGGGAGTGAAAGCCTCTGAAAATTAATATTTGCACTGTTGGACTGCAGTTATACCGTAAAGTTGCAGCAGATACGGTCTGCTAGGAGCATTCCGTAAAGCTTTCGTATTTCTGCATCGATTTTCAGATAAAAGTGGCCGCTATGAAAGAGACAGTTGACTAGCTTCGCATCACTGGATTATATAAAAGAAGCGTGAACATCAATTTCGATAGCCAAGTGGCAATCAAGGATTTAAAATTGCTTATGTCAGCCTTAGTTTTCGCCTTAAGCATGAACTAGCCGAGCAGAGGGCCCTTCCCCATTAAGGATCCGGACATTCCAGGTGCATGGCCGTAAATCGCAGTATTTTGCACGTTTACTGTGGTAGTCATAAGAAATGGGGGCCTCATCCATTGGCTGCCTTCTCAAATTGGCTCGCTTCCAAACGGATTTCCCGGCGCTAACCAGAGCATACTTGATGTAAACACTCATCGGAAGTGGTAATCTGCTTGAGTAGGATACAAAAGTGAATGAGGATCAAAACCATTCCCTACATGCATGAACTTCTGCATCTGTTACCATCCTGCACGCTTTCTGAACTTCGGGCTGATAGACCTAGCCATTGTTCGAGACGGCCGCCGTGGTCGAGTGGTAAGAGGTCCTCCGCGCTACCATTCGGTAGGTCCACGGTTCGTTCCTTGATTCCAACAACATCCAAACAAAAAAGTTTTTGTTTTAAGCAGTCGCCCCTCTGCCATGAAAAAAAGCTTTTCATGGAACATTGAAATCATTTGCCGTTCGGAGGCGGCGGCATACCACTGTATTGGGATTGGGATTGATTTATTTAGCGCAACGTTATCTGTTTTATTTTACTTTCCTTTAGTTTATTTTATTTCTTTCACTTTATATATACATTTTCCTTTGGAAATTTTAAATGCGAAAATATTTGGTAATTAACACTTAAAGAGGAGTACAAAATTCCCCTGCTCCATTCAAAGCATTATGTCCAATTAAGCGCAATGGCGATTCCACAAAAGGCCCAACAAACAAACGGTTCTTTGGTGCCTTTGACCACCTCGTTGGCATTTTCCGGCAGGTATTACTAATTACTTTTTTTTTGCTTTTGAGATTTCCGTGCTCGAATTTTGCTTGAGTTGTCTTTGCAATGATTTACACCGGCATTTTTACCTATCTACCTTTACTGATTTTCTTTGGCTGTCTTACATGCTATACATACATAGATATGTAGGTATTTGTGAATTTAGTATTTTGAGCCAGTATTTCCTCGCCGTGGGCTAAAAATGGCGATTTTGTGTTCTTTCCTTTAATCGGAATTTTTATTTGTTCGGGTAAGTAAAAGGCTGTTGAAAACGAATTGCGAACCAATGTTTTAGTTAAATTAAATCAAATTTGAATAACTGTGACCTTACATACTAAGCGAGCACCGGATTCGCATCAATTGCCCTGCCTCAATTTGAGTGATTATGGAAATAAAATTCGCTTTTAGCCTTCGACCGCCACTCAATTCATCTCCTTCTACTTTCAAGGTGTTGATTGGAAATTTCACGCTCACTTGCTTTCTTAATTGCTTATTTAATTGATTGTAGTAGGTGTAATCCAATATTCTATTCATGTTTTATTTAGCATAATAACACCACACTCACCTGTCGCACCGCATAGTAGCAGGTGAGGTTGCGCGGATAGATGCCCGGATAGTTGGGCGATTGCAAGCGACACGCCTTCTTGTCACAATCGCTGAAGATGCGCGAGCAATAAGTGCCAGGTATGAGATCGCCTGCAAGGAGAGGGGCGTAGTTACGATATACATACATAATGACTGTCGGCATGGAAAGCAAATTCTCTAAACTCAAATTATACGTAATTTTCAATGATTGCTATCAAATTTCTTTGCGTAAAATTTCTAAACAATTTTTTAGTTACTCGACTCACCCAAATAGTATTTTGGCTCGGTGTAGTTGTGCTCATCTCTGTCGACTGCGCGTTGTAGTGAATTCGTAAAAGTTTTATTATTGGCATAGGCGCTGAACAAGCTGAAATCCTCTCCGTAACGATCTGAATGTGCGCCGCTGGAATTGGTAAAATCTTCGATTGCATTTTGATTTTGAAAGCTGCTGCGATTGTGCCAATGGCGTAGCTCTGTAAAAAGAGAAAAAAAAATGCTTTTACTTCTAAAATAACTTGAATAAGTATTTGTGTATGTTGTTGGCACGAATGTACTTATGTAGGTGCATGTATGCGTGTTTGTATACGTATGTTCATATGTATGTGCGCTTAGGACGGCTTAATCGTTAGTTAATGCAAAATTTTTCATTTTCCTTTTTTTCGTAAACAATTTTGTGTGTAATCGAGCTTCTGTTTTCGAATGGCATTTTATTAATATTCCTTAATATTCCTCTTTTTGCTTGAATTCAATTTGGCAAACGATGCAAGATTTTATCTTTTGGCAAAGTGTTGGCAGGCAATATCGTAGCGAGGGCATTCTTACACTTTTTTTTTTTTTGGCTTTTAGTACGAAAGTACTTGAAATAGTGAAGTGAAGAAGCTGTAAAACTCTTATAGGTTATTTTTGTGTAATGAGAGTGATGTCTTTACGGCCATTCCTTTATAGAAAGTTTTAAGATTTAAAGTTATTAAAGAATTTATTAATAGCTATGTAGCTGCGCCTACGTAGTAAATAGAGTGCACATCTGCTTTACTACTGTTCGATTGACGCAGGTCGGTGGCGAATTTCGAGCGGTGAACCAAATGAAATGGGTAATTGAGTAGTTTGAGTAAATAACTGGCATCAATGTATTTTTTTTAAGTGCTACAGGCAGTCTTGCCGCGTAAATTCCGAACGGGCAATAATAGCCTGCCAGGATCGGCACCAAATGCAAGAGATGTGGGTTTTAGCTGAGCTGATATGAGATCCATCTATCCAAACGCTTCCTGACCAGTGATATCGATTCAAGTGTACATTCGTATCCTTTCGTGAACCACGGAGTTTCCTCCAATAATGCTATAGCATTCCATATCGTTCCCTAAAATGCAAAATAACGTAACAACATCGTCACTGAAATGGAAAAAGTCGTGACAAATAATTTTGTTTTTTCATAAAACGATGGGAGGAGTTGTAATTCGATGAAATCCATCTTAGCAATCAAAAAGTGAATTTTGAATTTTTTATAAGTTACGACTTTTTGTATTTCAATGACGATGTTTGTTACGTCCTTTTGGATTTCAGGTGACGATATACATTTTTAAAATTTTTTTCTCTATTTCTCTCAATCCTGATAATATGAAAGTTTCAAACGTCGAGCGCACGTATTGTACATTCTTCGCGAAAATCGAATGAAAATGCTGCCAGAAAACTTCAAGTTGCATCTTGTGGTTCAATGTTACTGCAACTATAGAGATTAAAGTTTTGTGAGTTAAGAACCCGAAAGGAGAAAATAGCCAATGATTGAAAGTACAAATTTTTCATATTTTATTAGTTCATAGTTTTTTCTTTTTTTACTGTTAATATACAAATTTCTAAAATAAATTTTTTTTTTGATTATTTTTCGTTTTTTGTCTTTTTTAGTGCCTTTTTTTTTGCCCTTTTTGCGATTTCTAGTGCCTTAAGCTATTTTATTTTCCCTTTTTGACCATATTTATGAGAGCCGAATAAGGGACAAAAAATAATTTTTCAAATTTGTTCCACAACAGCTTTCAGAGCCTTCTTCAATGATCCTAGATGTATTAGCCCTGAAACAGTATCCTTATATTAACACAACAAATTTGTAACATAATTTTCTCGAGATTTTTACCCGGTAAAATATGTTAAAAAAATTCGTTAAAATTTTAGTATAATAAAGTGTATTTTAAGTCGCTAAAGCTTACCATTAATTTTTGGCAATTTTTTTTTGTTCACGGTGTTACGCATTTTTTTCAATGCCTTTCCACTCGCACTTTATAATACTCTTAATGAGTTACAAAACTGCAAACCAGATTTTTTTCCAAAGATTCTAATTAAAAAGATTAAAATTTTGGTGAAACCTTGCAGCATTAATTTTTATAGTTTTTTTGCACAAAGTTGAAAATTTGTATTATATGGTTTTTGTAAGGAAAATCGCCTTACTTTCATAAAATTAATAATAAACATTAAATAAGCTAAGGAAAAAATAGCTAAAACTTACTAAAATGTCGAGCCCTAATTTCTATTTTTGTCACTGTATGTATTCCTCGTTTCGAATTCCAGGCATTCAGATTAGAAAATAATAACTGTTTATGGAGAAAAAATTAGGATCATATAGCAACATCACTTAAAACTCGTTCATAGGCATGCCATTTGAATGAGCTGTTAAGGCGTGGAAACACCGAATACGGGAAAAACACGGAACATTAAAAGAAATACAGAACATCTGGCGTCCCATATAAAATAAGTAAATTACCAGGACAATGGGTCAAAAAAGAGGACTGTTCCGTATAATACAGGACGGATGGCCACCGTAACCATCACTGATAATAATTCTGACTTTGCAATTTAATAGTAAATTCTTTTGTCAAGCGTTATGTAAGGTCGGCATTAATATCACCGATGAGCGTTAAGTCTTAGGTGGATTTTTATATAAGAATCTAAGTTTTGTAAAAAGTGCAGATAGAGGGTATTTCAGAAAAATCCTCGATATATAGCATGCCATTTTTAAAAGCATAATAATTTGTCTCGGCTTTTGTAAATCATAACACTTTCTCACTTACATGTTTATAATACGTACGTATTAAATTATCGTGGAAAAACAAAATTAAAAGCTCGAAAAAGTTAGTCGTGCTGTTTACCGACTATCAACATTTTTTTCTACCATGGCCAAAATATGTTGTTAAAAGTTACACATTTTAAAAGTTTCACTATTTTTAAAGTTTTGTTAGTTATTTGTACAAATACATGCATGTTTGATTATATGTGTGAGTGCTGCGACAATGTTTTTCCCAGCAGAATAGTTTAGGTTGATTTTAATCATTTTTATTTTTTTTTTAATCTCAGTGTTTGCTTATTTCAAATCCATTTAACCTATAGAGACCTACGCAGACAACAACCAGCGAAGTGTAGAAAAGTGCACTGGAGAAATACAGTGCAGCGAAATAATGTTGCAGGAAGCTTTGAGCGGATAAGCTCGGGACTGGGTGGTGGCCTGTGTGGGAGGTGGTTGATGTTGCAGTTGTTATATTAAAGTTACTGTGTATGTGTGTACTTATACACGGTTCTGTTGCATTTGATTTTATTTACATACCTTCAAGCTTGATGCCGCCATAGCGAGTTACCGAGCTGTCCTTCGACAAAACCTTGTATCTGATGCGAAAGTCGAAATTGTAACCGCTCTGATCCCGCGCCAATCTGCGCCGCCACATAGTACGGATGTTGCGACAAAGTTAACCAGCGTGCCAGCATGCCAACGGATCAGTTGGCACAAACGTGGGTTGAAGGGTAATATCACAATAGCGGGTCGCAAGTTGGCGTCGGTGTTGGCATTGTCCAAGTAGCAGCGTAGAAATGGAAATAGGAAAATGGAAATGGCAAAAATTGAATAGATTTCGAACAAAAAAACAGTTTAGACACAATGGTATGGAAGTAAATGTATGTTTAAGTAGGCATACGTATGTCTGTAGGTAGAGTGAGAAAATGAAATGCAACGAAATGAAATGAGATGTAATGGAGTAACAAGTACATAGTTCCTTGCTCATGCAGATTGTTAAGTGAAAAGTTTTTAGTACGAATTAGTGTTGCATTTGTAATTTCAATTTGTCTCATTGCAAACGGATGTTTTACATTACGATATCAAAAAGAGTGGAAACGGGATAAAGGGAGGGTAGCAAAAAAATAAAATAAAATAAGGCTTTCCGTGGAAGGTAGTAAAGCGTAATTAACTAAGTGAATAAATATACAACCCACTTACTTATTTAATTTGATTGTGAAAATCAATGATCTGGTTTCGCTGTAGAATAGCACTGGCCCCCACGAAGTGCCACACCACATGCCACCGATGGGAGTTCGAGCCGATTCGGCGATCTGCATATAACCATCCGGGCAGCCATCATGCAGATACGAAGTGAAACGTCCAATTGTAAAGCTATCAAGTGTTACCTGCAATAAAAGTGAGAAGTAGCAGTTACATAAGTATGTAAGAGGTTGTGTGTGAAAGGTAGGTTATACGCATACATAGGCATTGTACATAATAACATTAGAATGGTGCGTGGAACCAGTTTACATTTTTTGCTATACAAAAAAACTATACCTGAACTGGCTCCGAAATGATTTTGAAAAGGTCCCGAAATAGGCCCGATCTGATCCCTAACTAATCACGCACTGGTCTCGAACTAATCTGGAAATGGTCCCGAATTAGACCTGAAAAATACCTGAACTAATGTCGAACTAGTTCCGAAATTATCCCGAAAAAGTTCCGAACTAGTCTCGAAGTAGCGCCGAAAATATCCCGAACTAGTCCTGAAATGATTCTTAAAAGTCCGGAACTATATCAACGAGTAGTTTTGCTTGAACAGCTGATTCGATTTGTTTTATTTGTACTACTTCTGAATTCGTCTTGTTTAACGCGTGACGGCTTATGCAAATTTTTAAAATATTGGGAGCAAAGACCCAAGAATTAATAATATCAGTATTTTTAAAATTTCCGCCTCGCTTTTTACAAGCTTTATGCAATGAAAAGTTGCAGACGGTCATATTTGCGTTATGGAATGCTCTTGCAACAGCAGTAAACAAAGGCTGTTTTTAATGAAAAATTACCGATTTTTCTGCTGGGTTCCACACGAAGCAGCTGCAAATTTTCTACAGTGTTAACGCAAATAATACTCAAACAGAGAGCAAAGATTTTTGCACATTAAAAGTTTACTAAACAATGGATGTTTAATATTATGAGGCGGGAGAGGACGAGAATTTTTATCTAAGACAAGGTTTCCTTCTCTGTTATAACTTTTCATCGAAATATTTTTTGCCCAGATATTTATATATGTAGAAGGTATGCCTCCAAATTATTATTTTTTCGCTAAGTGGCTTTTATTCCTTCAGCTTGCTAGATAAGCAATACACCTTATACTATATCTAGTAAAATAATCATTCAGTTCGTTAAAGAAATAAAATAAATTTTCCACCTTGCAAAAATTTATTACGGATTTCAATTTAATCCAAACATTAGTACCTAGTTTTGCTTGCAAAAACTGTTTTTGTTTTCAATATATAACTGACGGGAAAAAGTTTTCTTATAAAATTTAGAGATGTTTTCGGTACTGAATCATTTCGGTAGATTTCGTGTACCTTGTTTTTCTACACCTCTTGAAGTTTTTGGAATCATCGGAATTTGGTTGCTGTCAGTTGCTGTCGAAATTCCATCGTTTTTTCTAGTTTTTAATAGCCCAATTTAGCAGGTCATTTAACTTATAAAGTAGAAGATTATTCACCGGAAAATCTCCTGGTTTGAAACAAAAACGTACATAACTAAATTTTTTTTATATCTTTGAAGGTTTTTGGAGGATTCAATGAATTTCAAAATCACTAAAATCCGCTAACTCAACAAAATTTGATAAATGTACCAATTTTGAAAAATACGATAACTCAATAATGTATATATCTCGATAAGAATCGATAGCTCGATAAAATTTAAATATCTTTATAAGTTTCGACAATTTATATCGACGAATTTCGATAACTAGTTACGCTCTGGTAAAACGATAAAATTTGTTAAGCAACGATGGCTCCATAAACTTATAGATCCTTGAAATTTCAATAAACCGATATATCTAGCAAATTCCAAACACTTCGATTCGTTAAATCGACAAGTATCAGTAAATCAATAAATATCTACAACTCGATAAGTTGAAAAAACTCGATGCATTACAATAGCTCGATAAATTTCGTTATAGATTTGTAATGATGATTCAATAAATATCGATAACTTGATAAATTGCATTAACTAAACAAATTTCGATAATCCCATAATTTTCTATAGCTCGATACCTATCCATAAATTTCGGCAAATAATTTTATGTTTCTATAAATTTCGACAACACAATAAACAATGATCAATTTGAATAATTCCATACGTTGCGATAACTCTAAAAACATGTATAACTCGATAAATTTCAATAACTATACGCTACGATAATTCGATATATATCGGTGACTTAGTAAATTTCGATAACCATTTTTTATGACTGCATTTATTTCGATTGTTATCGAAAAAGTTCAATAAATAAATTGTCTTACCCTTTCAGTTACCCTGATTCTCATGTATTTCTCATTGTTCTCATTTTCGTCTTTATCATCATCACATTTACATTTATTACAAAGCTTAATTTCAAATACGAAGTAAAACAAAATGCGAAAACAACTCCAATTGAACAGGTTGCAACAACACCTATGCACAAATACAGAAATTTTTAAACGACGATTTTGGCCGTAAAATAAGATGAAGATAAAGAGAAATAAAAGGAAACGGCACTCTACGAATTAAAAACTCCATTTGCTCTTCTTTGTTTCACTAAATAGTTCCGATTTTCATTACAGATTAGATATCGAACCACCCTAATACCATATACAACTAACATGTAAAACAAATACTCGTTTGCACTTGTTGGATCGAGTTTCAACTTTGTTGAAGTGGCAAGCAATTCTGCGGCACATAACCAGCACGAGTATCTAATGGCTGATGGAGGTGTTGCCACGCTAAAACAAATGAATTTCCGTTAAAGGTGTGAATGATAATAGCGTGGATGTTGAGAGAGTAGTGCGAAGTGTACGTGTTGCAACAAATCTCATGCAACAACAAAAGCAAATCGGTTTGCTGCAGATATATACATAGGTACATACATACGTTCACAGTTGCATATAAACGTTTGGACATTGAGTGAAATATTCACTGACTGAAGTGCAGTAGTGTGGAAAATATTGCTTTTCAGCATAAACACATATGTATGTACATGTGTGTATGCATGTACATATGTATGTCTGTCCGACTATCATTTTGCCAGCACCTCGTTTGTTAGCTTTGCTGGCGTTTGATGTTAACACCCAACTGTCAGTATGCTGCATGTTCGCCATTTGCGATGCAGTGTTGCATTTGTCTGTTGGCATTAGTGACGCATTAGCCGTTTTGTGGGAGTTGTGTGTGGAAGTGTTGCAGTTTGTTTTTTTCACGATTATTAGTGGAATTCGCGCTTCTGTGTATTCGCTGTATCCTGTGTAATTGTAACTGGTCGAGCGTGTGGTTGTTGTTGCATGTGTATTTGATGTACCGCTAGCAACAACAAATCACACGCTCATGCAGTTACAATTACACAACATAAAACGAATACACAGAAGAGCGAATTCCCCTATTGTATTATTTTTTTGTTATTTGTTTGTGAAAATATACAAATGTTAGAGCTTTAGAGTTAGAATAGAAGAAAACATTTTTTGTTTATATTGGCAGCGTGAATAACTATATTTTTGTTTACTATATTCGTCTTGCATCGATAATTTTGTTAAATTAAACAAGCAATTTTTGAGCAAAAAACTCAACCGATTTCAATAAAAAAATTTTCTGAGGATTGCATGACTAAAAGAGGTGTTGTGATAAGTAGCGGGCACAATAAATCCAATATGTCGTAGTTCATACCTCTTTTAAGTTTAAATCCTGCGCGGATGATATACCAATTCCATGTAGACTACCTAGTATTTTTTTCGTGCTAGTAATATTTTTTTGACCGATCAGCTGAATCAAATAAGCTTCTCTGTGACCATTTAAAAAAAAAATACTTGATTAGAAAGCTAACTTTATGTCGATATAGTATTTAAATAAAATTTCGGGCACGTGCGCGCCGGGACTAGCTCAGATGCGATTCATTAAGGGAGTCTGATTATCAGCCGAGTCTTTGCGCTGGTTCGCATAATTTGCTGTTTCGATTTTTTTGCATAAATCAATGGCCTCACGTTATCTCAGAGAAAATAATCAAGAGGCTTTGAATCGCACTATCTTGGTGGTCAATCGGCTGGCCCATTTAAAAAATATCAAGCCTTTTATGGCATTAGTCTATTCATAATGCAACGGTAAACCAAACTGATCAAAATTGAGAATAGCGTTGCAATGTCTAAACAATTTTTACTGCTTAATTGTTATCGAAAACCGGAACCCCTAAAAAATACCCTTTAAAAGGTTCTTTCGTGGGATATATTTTGGTTGCGACTAATCAAAAAGCGCTTCGATCAGCGGGGCTACTCTGTAATGCGATACGACAGAGAAATGGGATTCGAGAGACAATCACCCCCGTGTATTACTTACGATGCGGTTGCGCGAATGCGAATCATTTGTTTTCACATACCATTAAATATAACAAATAAGATCCGACCTTGAAGCGCCTTTAATTCTAGTAAAGCAAATGCAAGTTCGAAGTAGTTAGGACTTGTCCTTTATTTTTTGCAATTTTTTGTTGACGATGGTAGCCATTTTCTTCCCTTAAAAGTATGTTCGAGGACTTGTTTATATGAAAAAAATCAACAAATAAATTTGCCAAAAATCAACGGTAAGTCCTAGCTACTTCAAATTTGCACTTGCTCTACTAGAATACAAGATTGTTTTTTTTATTTGTTGTATTTAAATTTGAAATAGAAAAAGTAGCGGCAACAATTGTTTCATTAAAAGTTTATATTTTCTGAAAAAAACCTATTCATTCAAATATTTTTGCGCGCGTTAACTGAAATATAAAGAATGGGTGCTGAAATTTTGTTACAGCTCTTTTTTTTTTGTGACCGACAACGAAATTTGCATATGAGACCGAAAGAAAAAAGTTGTTATATGTATAATTTCGTACATATTCACAGACATTTTTAATTTTTAAGTATCTAGTAGAAAATGCTTCGCGAAAAATTTCCTTTGCTGCGGTTAACAATATTTTTTTTTTGCTTTTCGTTTCTTTCTTTCTCCTTAAATGGTTTGCATAATTTTAACTGAAATGAAATGCCTAAAACTACGACAAGCAAAAAAATGTGTATGAGTAAATATTCATGCTTGTGCACGTTTAAAGCAAAGAAAACACCACCAAATTGTTTGTAGCATTCTTATTTTTTTTTTTGTAAAATATGCAAATTTTCCAGCAACATAAAATGCACACATACTTATCATGCAAGCATGTATGCTACACTATATTTGTATATATGGTGTTGGTAACGGTGTTGCTTTAAATATG